TATGTCATAAGAGTTGCACCTCTTAATTCGAAAGAAATAAGAATGAAAATCCTTATGACTGCATTGAGTGTATATACAACATATACACAAGGAAATGGTATAATACCATTTGACCTGAAATAGTGAAACCTTCATAGCTAATTGGTAGCTTAAGGTGACTACAATCAACGAGATTGGTTGACTTGGAAGAAACCATCTTTCATGTAGTCTTGGTTTCTATTAATTCGAAGATTGCTAGCTACAACTGAATGGTGATTCAATGTTGGACATAATATGGGTTTCCGAAACCATTATCAAGATAGTCTTCATAATATATGTCTAAGACTAGGAATCACAAGACTTGTAAGTTGTAGAAATCCATCCATCATGAATCTTAGCAAGCTAGTGGGAGCTATAAGCGTCTTATGAGAGAGATCAAATCGTTTGATTCCTCACAAGATGTAAATGAATCTTTTGTTTACTAGGTTTACAAAAGATTGGTGGGAGTTAATCATATTCCTAAATTTGAACATATATATGATATATTAATTTTAGGAATTCTTCTTCATTAAAGTTATGACTTCAAACATTCTATAACGATAAAATGTATATGGGAGACATAGTATATATACATAGGATGGAAATCTATAATGATAAATTTCAGGATATAATTGGATTATATCAATCCCTAATGATAGACAAAAGATGCTAGGAAGTTTCTCATATGATGATAAACTTCAATCAAAATAACAATTCTAGTGAGACTAGGAAGTTGCTCTTCTTAAAGGGAACGTACCCTTTGACTCCCAAATAAATAATGTGTAAATAGAATCCTTTATGCACATGCAGAAAGGTGATTGATAGGATTTTTACCACCTGCGTAAAAGGGTTAAAAACACCTAAAATACTTGCAAGAGAAACAAGGTTATTGTAGTATAATTGGCTCAAGCAAGGTCGTTCTCCACAAGGATTAATTTAAAGAGATCAAAGCAAAATCAATTCTCAACTAATTAATTAAAACAAAGTTTTTCTTTTGAAAGAGGTGATTTAATGACCTAAACTAAGAAAAAACGAATTTAATTAAAAAGATTACTTAAAAACCACAACTTTAAAGAAAGATAAGGGGAACAATTTTTAGGATTCAAAGAGAGAAAGTACTAGGGTTCTGCCGTCACCCTAACAATCCTATGTAGCTTTTCTAAATTACTTACGAACCATACATGTATGTTTTGAAGGTTAGGTTTTCCTAGAGTATATCCTACTTGGAACCTCCAACATAGAACATATATCTAACATGCAACCCGTCCGTGGTGTTCAGATCGAATGTGAACATGCAAGACTCATTAAGTTTTATGAAAACCTTCTTAAAAAAAACCATATAACCCTTAAAACGTGTCGTCCATCCTAAGAGGTTACACATATTAACCACAAGAAGCTTTAGTCAATTTTAGGGACAATCCTCCGCCAAAATTGCATCAAATAACTTTTCCAAATATCCTAATGGTCGCGAATCACTAAGACAAATAGATAGTTTGAAGCACAGTGATTAACATTCCAAAACCTACATGCATAAATTCATAAGCAAAGTAAAAAGAGACTACATATTCTTGCTAAGGATCATGGCCTCGCCCTAGCAAAAAGAATTAGTTACGCATATTCATACTAAAAATCATAGTCTTTATTGAAATAGAAAAAGAATGAAAACACCTTGTAGAATAAAATCTGAAAATCTCTAAACTTTGCCCAAAATCTTCTCTCCAAAAGTTGCATGGGTTCTCCTCTCTCCCCCTTTCTAACCCTAGGTCTGCCAAAAAGGCTTATTTATACTACCCTCATGAAACCCTCCTGATAAAAAAATGGTCTTAGAATAAGACTAGGGAACTAAATAAATTAAAATAAAATAGGACACATAATCCTAAATTAAATTGGTAAATTCGCCCAAAATCTTGCACAGCCACGTTTTGGACCCATATCAACTCCAAAATGGGCCCAAAATACTTGGATTTAAAGCTTCGACTATTCTGAACACTTCTCCAAAAGGCCACGAACCCATCTGAGGTCATCTTGGGCTCCAAAAATGCAGTTTAAACCCATAAACGCCAATTTCCAGCATCGCGCACTGCTCTTTCATTTAATCTCCAGAAAATAACCGCTTGGTAGAAATTGCTGAGATTTTGACACGAATAAGCTAAGGAACACACGAATGTCCTCCAATTTGAATCACTCCAAAATTCGTCCGTTTGGTCATGTTTTGCACCAGAGGAAGTCTGATGTCCTACGTTGAGAATATAAAGCAAAGTATCAACATTCTACCAAAATAATTACCAAATTATACTAAGAATATGGTGAAATATATAATATAATATTGACTCATCAAAATACCCCCAAACTTAGCTTTTTGCTTGTCCTCAAGCAAAATTAAACTAGGAAACAAAAATAAAAGCTAACAAACTAGAACTTAACTAAAACTAAATGACAAAAATTTTCCCCTTCAAAGTTGCAATCCATAGAAAATGTTAAAAACCAGAACATCTTTTCAAAAGATTCAGCTAATCCCACCACAGAGTCTAAACCATTTAGAATCAATTAGAAAAGAATTCATGAACTTCCTTTGGTGAAAAGTGAACCAACATGGTTAAGGAGACTCGACTAAAACCTCTACCTTTTGTCCTTTTTTATTTCACTCATACTAACTTTAAAGATAGCTATTTTTTTTTTCGATTTTTTTTTTATAACTATTTATTTATTTTTTTTTTTCTATTTTTTTTTTTTTTCAGTAACAGTAGTGGCCGTGCAATGTCAATTCACTTAAGCTTTCTGTCCAACCCATGTAGCGAGCTTTAGGTCAATGACTCCCAAACCACAAGGGCTTTAGGGCACTAGGTGTAGAACACCCCTAAGGACTTACTAACTCGAGTTGGAAAGGCTACAAAACCGACTAACCACCCTGCCCCATGCCAAAACTCTACCGTTTGACGCGAGAATCACTGCTGATTAGGCAGGACTGGCCCGGTTACTCGGCAAAACCTCGAGTGGAACAATTATTACTTTATTCATAACAATAACTAACTTCGCTTAGAACAAAAATTAAAATTAAACTTAGACTAAAAGTAAGTGTTTCAATCTCACTCCCCACAAACCATGTTGATGTGAATGTGCAAATTGTCAAAGTATAACCCATGAATTAGTGTCTAAGCAACGATAAATAGAAAAGACTCTACTGTAAGATTAACCTTCACCATGTCCATTTGTTCTAACGGTTAAAATAATCTATGGATATTAACTTAAAAAGAATGATTTTTTTTTTATTTTTTATTTTTGACTCAAAAATTAAAAACCTAAAAATTCTAATTCCCACCCCCAAACTTAAATCACACATTGTCCTCAAGGTGTGGAAAATAGAAGAAAAACAAAAAGAAAATAAATAAACTAACACAACAAAATAAAAGTAAATAACCTCCCTAAATAACTAGAAATAGACAAATGAAAAATAAAACAAAAGACAAGCGACCAATAAAATGATACACTACAAAAGAAATAAACTAAAAAGAAAAGGAAGTGGACACACCTGGAATCGAACCCGTGACCTGGAATTGGGCTATATAGGCTGACTGAGCATTTGGGGTTTGAGTTTGAAAATTTTGGGCATTGGACAAACATTTGGCAGTGGAAAGATGACACAAGGGTCCATTGAAAAACATGTGGGTGGAAACCCATTGTGCAGGACAAACGTGATGGCCCAAAAAGAATACAAAAGCATGGGAGACACACGGAATGCATCCGTACACCCACACGCTTACCGGCTTGTGAAAAAAAACTTAGGATTCCCTGCCCATGTCTGCACATGGAACCTCGAGCCTAGAGCCAAACAGCTCTTTCTTTACTCCCTCATCGTTTCTGATGAAGCGTATGAATATATCAAACCCCAAATCGAGTGGCAGGCATGCATTCTCAAAACCCTCAGCCTCGCAACCATGTTCTCTAACCTCGAGCCCAAAGCTCACCATTTCAAAACTTCTCCTTTCTCTCATTTCTAATTATATTAAGAAATCCTAAGCCTTTTTGCTCTAGAGAAACGGAGAGGTCTCACATTTCTCTCAGCCCTCTTTTCTTTAAAATAGTTCTCATTTCTCTATACTGGAAAACATTAGCCGCTCCTCCAACCTCATTGCAACATCAATGTCTCGGTAACACAACCCGAAATCGCAAAGGTAAAACTCTTTCCTTGCTGCCATTGCGTGCTAGAGAGCTTATTTTCATGGGAAAAGTAAAGAACTAACACATGCAACTCTTTTCTCTGCGAGGACTCTTGGATCCACAACAAAAGTAAGGCACCAACACCCAATCTTCATAGATCCATAGCTAATACTCCAAAACTCATCCATCAGCAGGTAGAAACTTAGTCTCCCCTACACTTTGGTTTTGATTCTAGATTTTAAGTAACATTTTTCTGTGATGTGACTGACCAAAGGGCGAAAAAATATAACATCCATCCGTGTTCTTATTTATGCACATAGCAGAGTTCGAAAACTTGGATGACGAAAAACAGCCAAGCCAGACACAAATAACACGGATCGAAAACCAAAGGTAACAATTCATACTCTTATGTGACTGTGATATGCCTGCATGTTGAGGATCTGCTGGGTTGCATGGGTGTATTATCTGTGAGATCACCCCCAAACTTGATATAAATAATAACTGGACACTGTAGTTGCTGGACAAAAGAAATAACACTGAGATCTGTATAGGGACCATGTATGCGGACCATTTGGAACTTAGAACACTGCTTCTCCCTATAATATTCGTGAATGACAACCTGGATCACCCCTGAACATATGTACGAACTTTTTGGATTTGACCCGTTCTGAGGATGGATAAAGAACTCACCCCCCAAACTTAAATAATGGCATACCCGGCATCTTCGAAACTAAATGGCGTAGATCTGCATAGCAATAATGATAGCTCCTCAGTACGTATCAACTTGATGTTTTTTTTTTTTTTTTTTGTTGCAGGAACACTGGAGATCCCCAAAAGCAGCTCAATGGCGGCTAAGGCGTGCATGGAAGAATGGCCGCGTAGCAAAACAGAGGTATAATGTTCTATCCTTTTGTGGCTGGATCTGTGATTCTGCAAGAGCTTTGTAATTTCTACATTATATGTCGGCATGGTCTAGGAATGTGGTTGATGGTAATGTAGACTTGCCACTGGGTGCGTGATTCCAGCCTAAAATAAGTTCTCTATGTATACATGCTTGTTTGCTTTGTTTGTTGTCTGCAAAAACCCACATTATGAGATCAGAGATAGATTATAGAAAATACTAACTGTAAACTAACAATTAAACAAGTAAAATAAGAATTTTTATTTTATTTTTATTATTTTTTTTATTTTTATTTTTTATTTTTTTTATTTAAAAAAAAAAATGATTGTCGACACTAAGTGACAGCCTAGGAATTTAAATGCAGCTAGACGGAAAATAATGAAATAAAAAAAAAACAGAAAGTAATGAAAAAGTTAGAAAATTGGGTTGCCTCCCAATAAGCGCTTTATTTAACGTCTGTAGCTAGACTGAACAGAAGCCTGGTGATTAACTTGCTGGATCCTTCAGAGTCATAGACTCGATTGCACTGTCAAAGGGTGACTCTAAGTATGGTTTCAGCCTGTGACCATTCACCTTGAATGTGTTGCCATTAATCTTGCTTGTAATATCAACTGCTCCATGAGGATAAACCTTAGTAACCAAGTAGGGTCCATTCCATCGAGATTTCAATTTCCCTGGAAATAACTTTAATCTGGAACTGAATAACAACACTTTCTGCCCTGGCTGGAAATCTGTCCTGAGAATTTGTTTATCATGGAAGGCCTTTGTTTTGTCTTTGTATATGCGTGCATTTTCATAAGCCTCCTGGCGAATTTCATCAAGCTCATTGAGCTGCAGCTTACGCTTTTCCCCTGCTGAATCGTAAGCAAAGTTTAACTCCTTGATAGCCCAAAACGCTTTATGCTCTAGCTCTATAGGTAAATGACAAGCCTTGCCATACACAAGCCGAAACGGGGACATCCCAATGGGTGTCTTAAATGCTGTTCTGTATGCCCACAATGCATCATTTAATTTCAAACTCCAGTCTTTACGAGTGGAGCCAACTGTTTTCTCCAAAATACGCTTTATGTCCCTGTTTGAAACCTCAACCTGCCCTGATGTTTGTGGATGATAAGGAGTGGCAACACGATGAGTTATCCCATATTTTGCAAGTAATGCAGCAAACTGTTTATTAATAAAATGCTTACCCCCATCACTAAGTATAACTCGCGGGATGCCAAATCGTGTAAATATGACCCCTTGGAGGAATTTTAGAACCACTGATCCCTGATTAGTTGGTGCTGCAATCGCCTCGACCCACTTAGAAACATACTCAACCCCGACCAAAATATATTGATTGCCATGTGAAGATGGGAATGGTCCCATAAAATCAATACCCCAAACATCGAATAATTCAACAACCAAAATACCATGTTGTGGCATCTCATTCCGTTTGGACTGATTTCCCACTCTCTGACAACGATCACAAGATTTACACCAGTTATGAGCATCCTTGAAAAGAGAAGGCCAAAACAGCCCACTTTGTAGAATTTTAGCTGCTGTCCTTGTAGGCCCAAAATGGCCACCACAAGCATAATGATGTGCAAACTTTAAAACACTGTCTTGTTCCTCTTCTGGAATACATTTGCGAATAATCTGATCTGGACAGTATTTGTACAGATACGGCTCATCCCAAAAATAAAATTTTGCATCTGCCAGAAATTTCTTTTTCTGTTGATAACTTAAATCTGGATGAATAACTCCCCTGGCCAAATAATTAACCAAATCTGCAAACCATGGTGTTTTGTGCTGGACAGCCAACAATTGTTCATCAGGAAAATTTTCATTGAGAGGCAATAGCAGAATTTATTAATCTTGATAAATGATCAGCCACCACATTTTCACTGCCCTTTTTGTCTCTAATTTCCAAATCAAACTCTTGAAGTAAAAGAATCCACCGAATAAGTCGAGGTTTAGCATCCTTTTTAGATAATAAATACTTCAAAGCAGCATGATCTGTGTAGACAATTACTTTAGCCCCAATTAAATAAGAACGAAATTTCTCTAATGCAAAGACAACTGCCAACAATTCTTTCTCAGTGGTTGCATAGTTCAGCTGTGCATCATTGAGAGTTCTACTAGCATAATAAATGACTTGAGGAATCTTGTCTTTTCGCTGTCCAAGAACTGCCCCAACTGCATAATCTGATGCATCACACATTAGTTCAAAAGGTAAGTTCCAGTCCGGAGCTGCAATAATCGGTGCTGAAGTTAAGAGTGTTTTCAACTTGTTGAAAGCCTCCAAGCATGCATTATCAAAAACAAACTGTGCATCCTTAGCCAATAAGTTACACAAAGGTCGGCTAATCTTGGAGAAATCCTTGATAAACCGTCTGTAAAACCCAGCATGTCCAAGAAACGAACGAATGCTCTTCACAGTAGTAGGAGAGGGCAACTTAGTAATAACATCAATCTTAGCTTTATCAACCTCAATACCCTTGCTAGATACTAAGTGCCCTAAAACAATTCCTTGTTTAACCATAAAATGACACTTTTCCCAATTCAATACGAGATTAGTTTCTTTGCAACGCTCAAGAACCAAAGATAAATTCTGCAAACAATGATCAAACGAATCCCCAAAAACAGAAAAATCATCCATAAATACTTCAACAACTCGTTCAACCAAACCTGAGAATATGCTCATCATGCATCGTTGGAATGTGGCAGGTGCATTGCATAATCCGAAAGGCATTCTTCTGTAAGCAAATGTACCAAAAGGGCAGGTGAATGTGGTATTTTCTTGATCCTCTGGTGCAACTGGAATTTGATTGTAGCCTGAATACCCATCTAAAAAACAATAGAAAGCCCGACCAGCCAATCTTTCCAACATTTGATCAGTAAAGGGTAGCGGAAAGTGATCATTTCTAGTACCTGTATTGATCTTCCTGTAATCAACGCACATTCGCCACCCAGTAGTTAAACGTGTAGGCACAAGCTCGTTATTGTCATTTGTCACAACTGTAATTCCAGTGCGTTTAGGTACCACTTGAGTAGGACTTACCCATTTACTATCTGAAATTGGATAAATCATTCCAGCATCTAAAAGCTTCATAACCTCATTTCGAACAACTTCCTTCATGATCGGATTCAATCGGTGTTGAGCATCAATGGTGGGTTTGACACCCTCCTCCATCAAAATTCTGTGCATACAGAGTGTTGGGCTGATCCCCTTAATATCTGCAATTGTCCACCCAATGGCATCGAAAATTTCTCAAAATACGCAGCAATTTGTCTTCCTCAGTTGGAGATAAATCTGCAGAAACAATAACTGGCGGTGAAGAATTAGCACCCAAATAAGCATATTTTAAGTGTGCTGGTAATGGCTTCATTTCCAGCTTAGGTGGCTGTATTTTTGAAGGCTGTAATGGCATTTATGGTTCTCCCAAACTCTCAAAAATGTGCCTCCACTTTGGCTGGTGTAAAGGGACACTTTCCAAAGTTGTAACATACTCAAAAGCTTCTTCATCTTCAGTTTTGGCGTCTTCAAAACCATGTAAAACTTTTAACAGTGGATCTGCTGTCAAACTGGGCATAATATCTGCATGCATGATGCCTTCTAACACGTCAACTCTCATACAATCTTGCATATCACTAGGCCTCTTAGTTGCTTCAAATAAATTAAACACAACAGATTGTTCTTGTACTCTAAGCGTCAATGTGCCAGCTTCCACATCTATCAAAGTTCTAGCAGTTGCCATGAATGGGCGCCCCAAAATAATTGGTGTTTGCATATCTTCATCCATATCCAAAACCACAAAATCTGCTGGAAGGTAGAGATTATCCACTTTAATAATAAGATCTTCAATAATACCCCTAGGATAAGCAACCGAACAATCTGCTAACTGTAAAATAACAGATGTTGGTTTGATTTCTCCTTGTCCCAGCCGCTGAAAAACAGAAAAAGGCATTAAATTAATACTAGCACCCAAATCAATTAAAGCACGTTTAAACTCAGAATTTCCAATTGTGCATGAAATTGTAAAACTCCCTGGATCTTTTTTCTTTGGTGGTAGCTTTTGTAATAGAACTGCACTGCACTGCTCTGTGAGAATCACTTTTTTGAAGTCCACAAGCTTCTTTTTATTTGTGCACACATCTTTCAAAAACTTGGCATATGAAGGAATGTTCTTGATTGCATCAATTAATGGCAGATTAATCTGAACTTTAGCCAATGTCTTCATGAAATCTGTTAATTGTTGATCTTTTGCATGTGGCTTCAATCTTTCGGGATATGGCATAGGTGGAACATAAACACGTTTTGACTTTTCTGCATTTTCTGCAGTAGGCACTGCAGTATTTTTGGATCTGTCCAGTGGTTGGGCAGATTCTGCAGAACTTTCAGAACCTGTTTGTGGCTGCACAGGTGCTACCCGTGAAGCTCCAGCACTGTTTTCTTTATTTTCTGCATCACGGTTGTCATAACTTTTACCACAACGCAATATTCTAACAGCATTACAATCTGCATTTCCACGTGGATTTGGGATAGTTTGGCTGGGAAATTTTCCTGGTTCTCTGCCCGAAAACTGGAGTGAAAGCTGCCCCATTTGCTGCTGTAGATCTTTCATTGTTGCTTGTATGTTCTGAATGTTTTGGTTGGTTTTTTGAATTTCTTGTTTTGTTGCATTAAAACTTGCCTTAGTATGATCTGCCAATTTTTCAATTGCGACTTCCCAAGAAGGTTTAGCTTGAGCATCAGGTTGCTGTATTTGTTGTTGAAACTGTGGTTTAACCTGTTGATCTCTATTCCACTTGAAATTTGGGTGATCTCTCCACCCGGGGTTGTAAAAATTTGAGTACGGATCATTTCTAGGCCTTTGATAATTATTGAATGTGTTAATCTGCTCTGTAACATGCTCCGGGTATGTGTCCCTATGTGGGCAACCCGTAAAATCATGTGTTGTAATGCCACAAATGGTATAAGCGGCTGCAGTAGGCTGCTGGACAGCAACTTGCTGCATAGGTGCTGCCATTCTTTGTAAAAGCATGTCAAATTTTGCATCAAAATTTTCTAACTTCTTCTCCATCTTTTCTATTTGTGCAGATACATGAGGTGAACCACTAGACATCTCAAAAACACCCTTGGTCTGAGGTATATCAATTGCCCATTGTTGAGATTCTGTCGCCATGTTCTCAAACAATTGATACGCTTGCAGTGCATTTTTGTCTGAATACGTTCCTCCACAAGAAGCATTAACAAGAGTCTTAGTAGTCAAATTCAGCCCTCTGTAAAATAAATTCATTTGAGTGTCACCATTAATGCCTGAATGTGGACATTTCCTGAGTAGATCCTTGTAACGTTCCCATGCTTCATGAATTGCTTCATTAGGTTTCTGAGCAAATGTTAAAATTTGAGTACTCATATCAAGTGTTTTTGAAGCTGGGTAGTATTTGCTTAAAAATGCAGCACTAAGTTGGTTCCACGAAGTAATGCTTCTAGATGGTAGTGTGAGTAACCATCTCCTTGCACCATCCTTCAAAGTGTACGGAAAAAGTCTGAGTTTGATAGATTCTGCTGAAAATCCTCTCACCAAAATGTTTTTGCATCCCATTAGAAATTCAGTTAGATGCATGTTAGGATCATCTGTTGATAAACCATGAAATGAAGGTAGAATCTCCAACATATGATGTCGTATCTCAAACGTAGACCCATCTTCAACTTCAGGATAGGTAATGCAGCTTGGCACCTCTGTGGCATGAGCAACCAGAGATTCCCTCAGTGGTTGTCCCGCTGTTGGTAGAACAAATGCCATAGCTTCCTCGCAGTCCAAAACCCCAGTAAACCGATTATGCAAAACTGTTCCCTGCAGTGAAGGTTCACACTGTAGATTTTGCTTTCTAAGTCTCTGTCTGGCAGTACGTTCAGGTTCTAGATCAAAATCTGCAATTTGCTGTTTGTGTGATCTGGTACAGACCATGCACAATCTGCAGAGAATAAAAAAAAAATGAAAATGAAAACTTTTTTTTTTTTTTTTATATACGAGAATAATTAATTGAGAATATGATAGACAAAAATCTATTTAAAATCAATCCCCGGCAGCGGCGCCAATTTCTTGATAGGATTTTTACCACCAGCGTAAAAGGGTTTAAAACACCTAAAATACTTGCAAGAGAAACAAGGTTATTGTAGTATAATTGGCTCAAGTAAGGTCGTTCTCCACAAGGATTAATTTAAAGAGATCAAAGCAAAATCAATTGTCAACTAATTAATTAAAACAAAGTTTTTCTTTTGAAAGAGGTGATTTAATGACCTAAACTAAGAAAAAACGAATTTAATTAAAAAGATTACTTAAAAACCACAACTTTAAAGAAAGATAAGGGGAACAATTTTTAGGATTCAAAGAGAGAAAGTACTAGGGTTCTGCCGTCACCCTAACAATCCTATGTAGCTTTTCTAAATTACTTACGAACCATACATGTATGTTTTGAAGGTTAGGTTTTCCTAGAGTATATCCTACTTGGAACCTCCAACATAGAACATATATCTAACATGCAACCCGTCCGTGGTGTTCAGATCGAATGTGAACATGCAAGACTCATTAAGTTTTATGAAAACCTTCTTAAAAAAAACCATATAACCCTTAAAACGTGTCGTCCATCCTAAGAGGTTACACATATTAACCACAAGAAGCTTTAGTCAATTTTAGGGACAATCCTCCGCCAAAATTGCATCAAATAACTTTTCCAAATATCCTAATGGTCGCGAATCACTAAGACAAATAGATAGTTTGAAGCACAGTGATTAACATTCCAAAACCTACATGCATAAATTCATAAGCAAAGTAAAAAGAGACTACATATTCTTGCTAAGGATCATGACCTCGCCCTAGCAAAAAGAATTAGTTACGCATATTCATACTAAAAATCATAGTCTTTATTGAAATAGAAAAAGAATGAAAACACCTTGTAGAATAAAATCTGAAAATCTCTAAACTTTGCCCAAAATCTTCTCTCCAAAAGTTGCATGTGTTCTCCTCTCTCCCCCTTTCTAACCCTAGGTCTGCCAAAAAGGCTTATTTATACTACCCTCATTAAACCCTCCTGATAAAAAAATGGTCTTAGAATAAGACTAGGGAACTAAATAAATTAAAATAAAATAGGAAACATAATCCTAAATTAAATTGGTAAATTCGCCCAAAATCTTGCACAGCCACGTTTTGGACCCATATCAGCTCCAAAATGGGCCCAAAATAGCTGGATTTAAAGCTTCGACTATTCTGAACACTTCTCCAGAAGACCACGAACCCATCTGAGGTCATCTTGGGCTCCAAAAATGCAGTTTAAACCCATAAACGTCAATTTCCAGCATCGCGCACTGCTCTTTCATTTAATCTCCAGAAAATAACCGCTTGGTAGAAATTGCTGAGATTTTGACACGAACAAGCTAAGGAACACACGAATGTCCTCCAATTTGAATCACTCCAAAATTCGTCCGTTTGGTCATGTTTTGCACAAGAGGAAGTCTAATGTCCTACGTTGAGAATATAAAGCAAAGTATCAACATTCTACCAAAATAATTACCAAATTATACTAAGAATAGGGTGAAATATATAATATAATATTGACTCATCAGTGATTTATGTTTTTCATACTGTATGAAAAACATTGATATGAGTTGTACCAAGATCAGTACAAGACGATATTAGTGTAAGCCCAGGATCAAAACCATGGCAACTGTCAAGTGAGTCCTTAAGTATTTAAGAAATAATAAAGGATAGATCCTCAAGAATGAGGAAGAATTAGAGTAACGCAAAGGAAGAGTAAATGTATTAGATTATGAATCTAATATCGTATCTAACATTGGATGTCTCTTCATTTTGAATGAAGAGATAATTGGATATCTCTTTATTATGACTAAAGAGATATTTGGGTGGAAATGTTAAGAGTAATGACTTTAGTGTGTTCCATCATGCAAAATATATCGCCATATAGAAGCTTACAACATTGTTGTTTGGATAGGAAAGTTCATTTATGAACTCTCCATTTCAATTCTAACCAGAAAGTGTCTCAAGTGTGTCGATACTACGACACTAATGGGGCGATAACTCAAGCCAGGGAATCGAGGTCTCATCAAAATCCGAACTCAAATGAGAGACTGAACCACATGATTGAGAATCATGTATAATGGTGATGTCATTAATCTCAAGGTTGCTTCTATGGATAACTTATAGATATCCATTGTCTAGGCTTACTACTCAACCATTTTTTAAATGAATTCAGAAAAAATACCATCATTGATGACCAAGCTGATAGGCTTTAGTGCAAGTGGGAGATTGTTGGAAATGTGCCCTAAAAGCCAATCACATGATGATAGTTTATGGACATTTCACATGTTAAACTAATCTAGTTTAATATATATATATATATATATAAAGGGCAAAGATTATTATTTAAGCTGTCTCATATAAGTGTTATATGCTTAAACGATAAGTCCAAGGAATGTGTAATTGGGAAAATGTGATCTAAAGAAGTTAGATTCATGAGATCATTCTCTTTCTTATACATATCCTAAACGTTCCTGATCATAGGATTACCAATTGGGCATTGATAGTCCATTAAGATCGGTACATGCTATGTCTTCTCTTAGAGAGAGTAACTGGTCTAGAGTCATTGGTGTGACTGACACCAAGACAAGTATGTAGGTGCTTAATAAAGAATGAGTCCACTGAACACGATCAACAAGAAGTTCTCATACTTATGTCACATGAGAACTCATGATTGGGATAATGCAAAGTAGTCATTTGACCTGAGGCATCATAATTGTCTTGTGGTTAGGTCTTTGATCTTTGGCTATGTCAAAGTCACTCCGTCAGAGGGTGTCCACAGCATAATTGGGGTTAAGCCACTTAGCCATGGAGGCAAGTGAATGCGCAACAAGGGATCTCTAACCTTCAAACCATTTGAGGGAGAATACTCTATGGTATGATTAAGAATCTCTGGCCAGAGTATGAATGAGATTTAGGAAGTCGTTTTGTAATCCTAAACTAAATAGGTTCTCCACCTCTTCTGATTAGCTTGGGTAGCCATGACATATTGCTAGGTGTCACTTAGGGTTTGTGGAAGCCCTAAAGGTGTATAATCACTAAAGGGAGAATTGAAAGTAAGTTTCAATTCACAATTGATTTGAAAAGTTCTAATCGCCAACTGCCTTGCTAAAAAGAACCTAATGGATCGTACACCGAGTAAGGTAGAGATTGAAGAAACAACAGAGATGAGTAAGGATAATTAAATGGTTTAATTATTTATGGTTAGGATTAATTAATATGTTAATTAATCAAATGAAGATGTTTGTTATAGACCTTGGATTAGTTTTGGGCCGCAAGGCTCAATAGGATTTGAATGTCAAGCCCATTAACTCAAGTTGTATGACAACTTGAAACATAAAGGGCCTCAAAGCCCAAAGAATCCAATATGGCTGACCATAAGAGTGAGGGGTAGTAAACTTGGCTTAATTGCAAGTTTGCCACTCCATTGTGAGGTGGTATAAAGGCAACTTTATAGCCATTTCATCCTTAGGGTTTCTTTTGGAGAAAAAGATGAGAACACAAGCTTTGATTTCCTCTCTAGGAGGCCGGTCACCTTGGAGAAATTACTAGCATCTATTTCATCCAAGGTCACTCATCTCTTCATCAATGCTCTCCTTGGTGTTGAGACTTAGAGGTTCTCTATTTTGAGAACTTGGAGAATCCTTTCTACCATCCTCCTCCAAGAAATCCATGGAGCTAAGAAGAAAGGAATGAAAGTCCTCTCTCTTGGGTGATTAGCCTTTGCTTATGCAAAGACGAATCAACAAAGGTATAAAATTTCTCAACTCACTTTGTTTTGAGTTAAGTCTTGGTTCACCATAACTATTAGGCTTTAAATTTCATGCGTTAAGTTTTGTTTTTGAGTGCATAGAAACATGATTTTGCCTTTTAATTGTTAATGGCATGCATAAATGTTCCTTAAATGAACTTGTTTTCCCAAATATTTCCTTCAGTAATCCTTGTCTCCACCAGATCTACTAAGTAAGGGTGGGTTCGAAAAATCAAAAAAACCAAACCCAAAGAAAAACCCGAACCGTATTAGACAAACCGAACCAAACCGAGTTCTATTGGTTTAGTTTCGGTTTCAAAGGTTCAGAAACCGAAATGAACTGAACCAAATTGAAAGTTATAAATGAATAGTTTTTTTTTATTTACTTAGGTTGGATATTTATTTTCGAAGTCTAATTCTAAGTATTAGTTTAATTTCAATGCAAACCTGCATAAGCACAATTTCAAGCCCAAACATATTAACCTAGCTACAAAGCTTTCCATTTTCTTTATATTTGGGGAGACTGTTGTTGAATATAGTAAAAGCACTCTAGTTGGTGTCTTGTAGGAGA